CGCACATTCGCACAAGCTCGCACTGAAGTCGGGCGCCGTTCCTACATCTCTCCTCAACTCATTGACTGGTAAGGTAATTGCCATGCCCTTCTCTAAACGCAGCACTCGTACGCGTGTCTCTACCGAATCTGCGGTCACCACAATGGGTGGACATCCTATGTTTCTTGGTTCTGGTGACATCCAATTAGGTGTCAATGAATCATTATACGATACCTCAGTCGTCATTTCGAGTATGACTGCAGGTATTGTAGCTAGAGTGGGACCTCATTCAGATGTTGCTGGTCTGGCAAAGTGGTCGAGTGTACCAGTCATCAATGCTTTGTCTGACGAGTACCACCCCTTACAAACTATCGCTGATTACCTCACAATCCACGAAGCATTCCCCTCGCAACCTTCTAGAAGCTCGTCACAAATTACACCAACTTTGGGCTTGGAGGGAATGAAGATAGCTTGGATTGGAGACTCAAATAATGTTCTCTTCGACCTTGCAATTGGAGCAATGAAACTGGGAATCAACATTTCTGTTTCATCTCCAGAGGGCTACAAAATCCCCGAATATATGCGCAAGATTATCCAATCTGCCGCAACTACAACAGATACTCCAGGAACACTCACGGAGGTCTCCGTGCCAGAGGAAGCTATTAAAAATGCAGATGTGTTGGTGACTGATACATGGATATCTATGGGTCAAGAAGAGGAGTCAGCAAAGAGATTGAAGGCATTTGCAGGTTATCAAATCACAGAGGAAATGGCAAAACGAGGTGGGGCTAAGGAAGGATGGAAATTCATGCATTGTCTACCCAGACATCAAGATGAAGTCAATGATGCAGTATTTTACGGCCCCAGAAGCTTAGTCTTCCCAGAGGCGGAAAACAGAGTTTATTCTGCTATTAGTAAGTCTGCACGTCACCTTTGCTTTATGAATTCCGTACTAATCAAACATAGCTGCTTTGGAAGCATTCGTAGTGAATAAGGGTAAAATCTTATGAAAGCATTTGAGTTAGCATATATACCAAGGCGCTATCTGGAGTACAAAATCAATGGTTAATTTAGGAATCACAGAGTCATATTATGATCCACGGCTCTTGTTTGAAAGTAACATTTTGATCTCATAATTATGTTACCCGCGCTCAATTTTCCCAAAAATCCAACACCCAAATAAAGCACAAGATCCACCAGTCGAGAATGAACTTGGCCATCCTGGGGACTACATTCTTACCAGTGACAATCTCCATAATTGCTACCACACAAGTTCCAGTCAATTAAGTAAATTCCATCACTGTTCACCAAATAGGACTTTGCATCCAGCAAGTGCTCCGCTCCTACTAATTTATTTTCCAATCCCTCATTCCCCACCTCCACCAAATAATCAGTAATTTCTCCCTCCGAGCACAGCACATATATGGGCATTTATTTCATGCATTGGGTCCCTTTTCGGTCGCAGCCACCCCACTACTAACCCAAGATGATCACTACAGAAGATGTGACTATTAGATACGCTGCGATGATCGAAGTTGATTATAAACTTCAGAGTTGCGTCGAGGTAATGCCGGTGCGTACGAAGAAACTAGTGTTTATGTTACTATCTTTGATGGGTATGTTTCAAGTCGGTAGTTTCCGATATAGATGGTGTTGCAAGTAGTTGTAAGGGCCCGTGATATGAACACTTCTTCTAGAACAATACCTTGGGTTGCCTGCTTCTCAATTGACCCAATATAATTGTTTCATAACAGGTGTGAGTCCCTAAAGACTTCACTATCAATGGCTCGCAATCCTTGCAAGACCCTCCCGACATTCATTTCCACATATTTCATTAATTCCAAGCCCCGGATGGCTCTAGGACTGTTGTCGTCACTCGATTCATCGGAAAATCCATCGTCAAAATTATCGTACACCCCAGGATGGTAGCGGCATATGAAATCAACCACTTCCCCTAGGAGTGTGGTAGACCGTCCCGCCATCTCCCGTCTCCATCTGTGAGCCACTTTTTGATAGCTTCGATGGGCTTCTGCATCGTCTTCCATAGTCTCCTCGATTCCCACGAGCTCGGCTACATTGAAGTACCCTTCCACGCTCACCTCCCTCTTTAGAAGTTCACTCAAGGAGCGATATCCCGCCTCCTTGTAGTCGATATCATATTGCAAATTCCACGCCGTCTCAATAAAGAAGCTCAGCTCACGGCCAACCCAGACTCACGGCGCGCGGCAATTTCCACATGTAATGTCGGGCTGTCCATCCTGGAAGTTTGTCTCGTCCCAGGTCCAAATGCACTCCTTATGGAAATTCTTCCCACACTGGCCTCTACACCACGCGATGGAATCATTATCTATGAGGTTTTCGAGGCAGATGGAACAGGTTTCCTGTTCCTCGACTGACTTTTGTGTACAAAATTTATCGGTTGATACTGGGCCCATCCAATTAATCTCATCTCCCATCATGCATCTGAGCTCGGCCTCCAAGAAGGTAGTTTGGTGACGAAGTGGCGCTGGTAGATTCAGGAACTGTGTGAGGATCTACATTCAAGACCGTCAGTCATCACTCATCCTTGATATTTTAGTGAATAAAAAGACCTACAAAAACGATGTGAACGCAGAGCATATCTTCTATGCCTTCATAACAATTGCACTCTGGCTTCTTTTTTATGATGACCATGTACACATTACCGCTGGTACCGAGAACAGCGAGCTGTCTCGAGAACTTAACGTCATCTTTGTGCTCTGGAGAATGCCATTTGTTAAGACAATGTAGCTCCTGCGTTCGAGCATTCTCAAGTAAATTTCGGAAGCTGGTGGTAGGCTCCGGTAGAAAAGGTCCAAGGCGTTTCTCTTCTACCAACACAATTCTGTCGCCAATGTAAGCCTGAGACATGGTGGCCGTACGTTCTCCCTCATCGCTGGAATCATCAAATGCGAGGTCAACAAATGTGGGCTTTGCATTGGGCCGAGTATTTCGGACAGATGGTGCTTGGACAACTGGCAGCAACCTTGGGGCTGGTGGCAACGCCGCAGCATCTTCTTCGTCGCTCGAATCTTCCAACGTGAGGTCAATGTATGGTGTATCTCTACGCGTCGAAGCAATTTGATCAGATGGTGCTTCAATTGTTAGAAGCATTCTTGAGATTGGTGATGAAGCAGTCTCCAAGACCTGATGTTCGACGACTGAGTTAGAGAGTAGGAGGAAAAGAAACTTATATAAGAAACTATGGGAGTCATGGTTGAGGAAGTCATCAATACACAGTCCAGCCGGTGCTAGCGTATATAAATGAGTTCTGGTACGGCTAAATATGGATGGAATATGGAAGATTTGATTGAAAGGTGAACATATATCAGAAGAGATGGCCATAGAGACGCACATTTAGCTGTCTCTTCTGTTGATGAATCCTATTGATAACTTCAAGATATCCTTTCTTGTATTCTAAGAATTGAATGCCAGTTCAAAATTAGACCTAAGAATTGCATAGTCTTTCCTCGTCGTTCAAATTGCAGGTAATTCAATCTATAGTTCTCCAATAGTATCACTTATGATTACCAACTCCCACTTTATACGACCATGCTAAATTGAATTCAATTCAAATATATCGCAGAGTAATCAAATTTGACAGTGGCGATTTCGAACTTGACCTGTCCACGATGGTAAGATCAAAGTAATGATAGCTAATTCTTTGTATATTTTTGGAATTGCTTCTCAATAATCATGAAAAGATGAATCTCATCTTTGAAACCTGCAAAGAATATTTCATTATACATATTGCTAATGAGATGATAAATTATCCTGAATCTTCCATAAATCTGGTCTGAATGATTTCTCCTCAAGTGAAGTTGTTGAGACAATCGGAGCCAGCACGATGTTCAACTGCAGCCTGTGAATACTTTGACCGATGTCTGACTATCAAGAATCCCAAAGGAGTTCAAATTATAACCAGAAAAAGAATCTCTCACTGGCATTTTCAAATACTGTTTTCCAGGTGTGTGCGATGCTTTCCAGATATTGAATCTGAGATATTGTTCGCGTCTTGCCAGGAAGAGCCATTCCAACGAGCGATGAGAACCAAAATTAGAAATGAATAGAAAGCTTTTCTCCCAGCCTCCAGCCTCCAGCCAGTTATTAGTTTAGTAAGATACTGATATCTCGTCAATATTTTACAGTGTTCAAAGGTGATGTTGCATTTCAGGTGTCGAATGGCATTGTCGAGATTTATCATCACAAGATCCCATTTAACATAAAGAATTATAGATCTGATACTAAAAATACTTACATATGGAACGGCAAGCTCGATTCTGATTTCATCTTTAATCTAACATCCGATAATATATACTTTTGACTAATATCGATTATTTTGTTCAGCTAACCTCATCATCGCTGGTAGGCTTAGAATTAGTCTAAAACCTATGGTGGCCATACCCAGAAAATAAGAAGCTCCCCAGAATAATTTATTTCTGGTCAAAATGGTGATACGAATCATTACAACGAAACATCATCTCCTTTTCGAAGCGAAGCCCTCCTTTCCTCTCACACCCCACCCGAAGTTTTCCCGAGAAGGGCGCACGAGATGCCCTCCACATCTATCAATATGCACCGTCTCAATATCAAACCCCACTTTTCCCCTCTTCATAAACCACATCACCATCCCCGATTCCAATCTCAACCGTCGATTATCTTCTCTCTCAAATGTCCTTCTTGCGCTTAAGATTTGTACCTGGCAAATTATATCCTAAACAACTTACGTCTTATACTACCCGTCCATACCCAGTAGTAAATATCAGGAAGATGTCTTCAGCAGCAGCACCAGCGGAGAAATTTGAGTGGTTGGTTGTGTTACCTGATAATGAGGGGGCGTTGGAGAGAAGAGTTAGTGTTAGACCGTGAGTTTTTCTAGGGTTGATACCGGAATTCGTGTGAGAGATCCGTACGAGGTGCTTTGTTTTGAGGGGCTTTGCACGAGAAAGTGGTGATGTGAGCTTGAGATGTATAGGAGCTAAGGAATTGATAGTAAGCATTTTGAAGGTCTAAAGACCGGTCTTGAGTCTGGGTTCTGGAAGATGGGCGGTAAGTTTCACCGCTTTCTCTTTACCTACGTCGTTCCTGAGAATGTTCCGCTGATAAATTCCATCAGGCGCCTTTCTCTCCGAGCCCCCCACCGGAGACTCTCCTTTGAAGTTCCAAGGAAGTTGCATGATCGCTCTTGCCAGCAGCAAGGAGGAAGTCATTGAAGTATTGAAGAAGGATATTTATGCCGAAAATGATGTTTGGGATTTCAGCAAGGTATGCTTTCTATCACTATCGCAAACTTTTGTGATCACGGGTTAAGAAGTGATGGGCATGGGGTTGATTACTGATGTGTGGGCAGATCCAAATCTATCCCTTCAAGTGTGCATTCAGGAAGGAAATGTAGAAAGTTAAGGTTGATTTAGTTGGGCAAACCACTTTGAGGTTTTTGATCGAGCGCGATATCAATATTTGAGCTTTCTCCAGTATTCAAAACAGCTAAGACAACAGAAGAATGTGTTAATAGTCTAGCAAATGAATCAAACAATCATCAAATTTGCTTCATGCCCTCTAGTAAAGGGACTGTGTGGGCAGCACTCTTGAATGTTCCGGACCATATTTTGCTTCTTTTTGGATAAGCACGATGATTGCGACTAAAAAGTCGGACGACTGACAAAAGATCATAACGTGGAACCAGTGTCCAGAACGAAGAAAGCAATGACAATAAATGAGGGCTAGTAGGGATATTAGGGTTGCCAAGGAAATTTTGAGACAACACAAAATGGAAGAAAATTAGTCGCAATGGGCGTCAGTGACATGGGTAGATTGACGACTTGTGATATGACGAAATGGATCTGGAAGAAGTGAATGATGTGCAGGATATGGGTGGTAGTAGAAACAACGTGGAGTGCGGACACGTTAGTAGTAATTAGCGAAGGCTCATAGACGAAAGATTGCAGGACACCACGAGGCGACATTGTGGATTGCTGGTGTAGTGTACTCATGCAGAAGACTTGTAGAAAATTCTGTTGAAATCCTTGAATTGGATTCTTCAATCTGTGTCTCCAAAGTACTCGTCTTGAAAGCCCCCAATGAGGCTCGTTTGATATCATTCTTCGACATCTCAGTCCACCTTCATCATACACAATCACGGCGTGTTCATGCACTCGGCAGTATAGATGGAACCAGGTTTTTCATCTTTCGGAAGAATTCATGAATGCTTGCTTATTTATGGAAGCTACCCTACCAGCCCAATATTGCACCGAGGGAATATAAACCGTGGCCATGCATTTGAAAGTACGGAGAGAAAAGGTGAGATAGATATTTAATCGAAGAGACCGAAACCCATATCCTCGTCTGACTCCTCCTTGGCTGTTAAAATAGTTAGTATATGAGATCTCCAAAATGCGCGCGGCTGTAAGGATTATCGTACCCTCTTCTTTCTCTTCTTTCTTCTCCTCAGCTGGGGCGGAGGCGTCACCGCTGGCAGCGGCACCAGCAGCAGCTGGAGCGGCTCCACCACCGGATCCGACGTTCAACAAAAGGTCCTTAACATCCTTTCCCTCGAGAGCCTATTAATTCCAACAATCAGCACTGCCCATAGTTGCTCATTCCTCAACTCAGTTGTGTGAATTTCAATCGCATACCTTGGCGAACAATGAGGTCCAGATTGGCTCAACATCTTCAATACCGGCGGCCTTGATGAGGGTTTGCAATTTGTCGGCCTATTAATATCTAGTCAGCCACTTATCCACCCAATCGAGCATTCTCGTTTCTCAATCTCGAGAATGTAGGAATTCGTACAGTGATATCGACACCGTCATCGGCGAGGATCAACGCGGCGTAAGAGCTGGCGAGTTCTGCGTTAGACATTTTGAATATCTAGAATTGATAAATTAGCAAGAGGCGCCGTAAATGAGAATGCGACTGCGTATATGCGACATACCGACAGATGGTTGTTTTGTCGGTAGGTTGATGTTCTTGAAGTCGTCGATGGAAAGGATTAAAAGTTTATGGTGGGAGAGTTTTGGGAAATTCGAAAGTGTGCGTGACTAATATCTTGTCAGGGTTTAATTGGGCAGCAAGCGATAATTTACGGGGAGCCACTTTAACCAATAAGATACACATGCAACTTATTATTATCTAATCATCTTCTGTCTTTCATTTTTCCCATTTCTCACATCTCCAACATAAAAATACACAATACATACTAGGTAGGTAGGTAGGTAGGTGGGTATTCAATACTTGAATAAACACTCTTCCATCAATCATTACTATGATGTCTCAATACTGGCTTACCTTCGTCGTCGCTTGCCAAGGTACTGTGATATGGTGATTATACGAAGTACAGAGAATCAGAACAACTCTCCACGGTAGGTGTATGTAAGGTACACATGATATGCGATTTGACCATATTGCTATCGCTGGTTTCACAAGCAAAAAATCGGTATCAGAATTGGTTCACCGTAAATGCAAGGCTGAGATTCTCTTTGTGGGACTTGCCCCGCCTTCCAAACCATCCAATAAGGGAAATATTATGACATAGCCAGTAGCTCTTTACTAAGAAACAGCCTATTGGGATCAACACTATTCCATTGATTTCTAACTTATTGATTCAACAATAGCGAATGTTAGTAACAAGCTCAAACTATATCATCAGTACTTCAATCATCTGCAATTTTCAAGAATACGAATCAAACGATTAAAGTCTTCCAACAAGATACAAGCAAGTTATCAAAATCCAGACCTCAACTCAACCAACAACATTCATCATGACTGATACCCCATCTCATCCGCTACCCCTTGATCCTCGCGAGCAGCCTATATTGGAAGCGCTCACTTCAATACGGGACGAATTGACTCTTCTAAAGCAAGATAGAACGACGTATATCAAGGCTGCAGATGTGCTTGTCCTGCAAGGCAAAGTAGTTGAACAAGTTAAACTTCTGAATGAGATAAGAGCCGATAAGCCCGATGAGCAAAACCGAGGTTAGTAGTGAGAGGTAGAAGGTTGCCATACAATGCAATTACTGATCGAGAATCTTCCAGTGGATCGCGTGTTGGATGGATGTTTCCAACTGCTCTCTCTATTCTTCATGACCATTGGCAAAACCAACGAAGCACCCGCAGCCTATTCCCTCACATCCACGATCAAGCGACTACTCGATCACCTTACCGAGGTCGATCTGTATTGCGAGAAGGACTTAGCACACGTTGCGCAGACCCTTGAAAGGCTAGGAGGCATAGTGAAGAATGCTAAGCCGTCTTACTCCCCTTTCCTTCTCACTCTTCTCAGCAACAGAATCGATGTCTGCCAGCGATCATTGAAGAACTTGAGCAAGCGACTAGAGCGAATCGGTGCAGACTTGTTACCCATTCACGAAAAGATAATATCGATATTGAGATCAATATCATTGGCAAATACTAGGGCTAAGGTGAGATAATTGTTATAATGGAACCCCTCTTCGGCCTAAGTGAGAAATTATTTGAGCGCTATGCTGATTATGATCTTGGAATTAGTTTTCGACAACAGAGGTGACGAAGCTGCAAAATCAAATAAAAGAGATTGATTCTCAAAGAGTTGATGGAAAGTTTGTAACAGCCTCTGGGGAAACACCCCCGGGAAATGATGAAGTGTGTGAATATCTAGAAAGGTGTTTGAAGTGGGCGGAAGTTGTGTTGGAAAGGTTTGTTATGAGATATATTGTCGACCTACAGTTCGCTGACGATCAATCAGGAAGGGACAATTCCCAGAAGCCTTTCAAGGGCCATATTCTATTCTAGTTGAGATTCGAAACAAACTTGAGAAGCTATCTTTGACTCAAGCCTGGTCATTGAGGGAAACCGATCTGTACGACTTCCAGCGACAATTGGACAGAATCGACGAGAGCAGAGTAGACGGTAATTTCGTTGATGCTGAAGGAAAATTTGCCGAATTATACGTCCAGCGGGTACGTTCATTATACTTCTTTTTTGATACATAAACTAATTGAATTAGACTTTACTTTACTTAATTCGACGTAGCTATGCTTATATTTATTTTCTCATGGTGTCCTCCGAACCAGTTTCTGAAGCGCTTCTTCCGGTCTATAACCAACTTCAAACTCTGAGACGATGTCTCATTGAAGTCAAGAATTCCGGCGGAGTCAGTTCTCCAAGAGAATTGTATCCTTACAGCATGAAGGTAGGATATCCTCCAACATTCTTTTGTGTCTTGACTATGCTGATATATTATTCTAGTTGAATTCAATCGACAACATGCGTGTAGACGGCAAATTCATGGTCGGACCTGATATTCCTGAAGGCCAAGGCAGCGTCACTGATCTCCTTGCAGAATGCTTTGAGCTTAGCTATGACCTGCGAGTGGCTGCGGAAACCGAAAGTGATGCGTAATAAAACAAAGATCGCTTTATTATTTTCTGGGAGTCTGGTGGTATGCGCAGTGATTTTGACAGGCCTTGAGGCTGAGGGCGTTCCGGGCTATTATTTGGGGTAAACTTCATCAATATTCTTAGGTATGGTGAAGTCTTTGTACGATATCTGGATCAAATACAAGGTACAGGTGCAATACCAGGGAACTTATGGGGGACCATCAGTGTACGGAAAGTCACTTATGTGCAAATATGACAAGGCGTACAATGGAGGAGATTTGATTTCATACTGATGGCTATGCCAAAGTGAATTGGAGCGAATTGTAATTGACACTTTGTAACATACGGGGTGGCTATAGGGGCTGTCGCGTCTTGAATGCCACTCGGGTCCTTTCGCTACGACCCTTTCTTTTCTCCCCAGCCATCGCAACGAAACAGTACCCATTTCTGATCTCTGTTAACCACGTGATCCACCAACCCCAAAACTTGTTTGCCGCAGAGAATTCTTTTATTTTTATCGGTTTGAATCATGGATATAAGGTACCATTTCTCCCATTTCTGAGAAGTACAGTAAATCTTTCGATCTGTGTCGTAACCGACACCAGTATAAGTGGGCCAAAAAGTGATAGTGGGCTTATAATAGTCATCTGTGGCTAGCCTCGAGAGGTTCAATATGAAGTTTCATATCGCTTCCCGTTACTTTCCAGCTCTATTAGAACCACCTGGCACAACAATTTTGCATAGCAGCACTACAAGGCCTGAAATCAAGCATGCCTTCTACTAATGCTTTTTCCACGAAGTCCGCAATTTGTGTAACTCCGTATACTTATACCACAAGTTACAGCTCTCCGAGAATCGAAACCCATCTACAGAACCTCATCTAGCTCTCATAACACTAACATCCTCAATCGCTCCATCTCCACTACTTTTTGCCCCTCCTTGTCCTTGTCCCTCCCCAACCATCTTCTCAATGATTTTGGCTTTTGCCACCGCCCTCTTATACCTATCATCGAAATCACCGACTGCCTCTTCCGAATTCTCTGTCGAGAAACTTTCTGCTTCCGCCAATGCATGAAATACTTTCACATGTTTTGCCAATCTTTCATTTTTGGCCAGTTCGGACAATTTGAGATCATGTGGTTTCTCTCCTTCTTTTGTCTGACTCTCCTGCTCGAGCTCTGGGCTTGAGATTGTGGAGATTTTGGACTTTTGAAAAGAAGGGGTTCGGTTGGCCCATACGATAGATTTCCCGTGTAGCCGACCCATTTCGACGTATTTTTCAAACCCTTTCTCAAGTCCGAAAGTTCGCCCTTCTATGCGACCGGCGGTTATACCTTCCGAGAGCCCTTGGTTGTAGCCGGTGGAATAAAATTCTTCCTCGAGGTTGAGGATATCTTCAAAAGGATCGGTAGTGACCATTTTTGGTATGTGATGTGATTGGATGCACTCTTGAGCAAAAAATTATGGAAGCAGACGTTTGAAAATCGTATATCAAAACCTGCAATATATTACTTCGACTAGTATTTTGGCTAGAACGAAACTTTTCCTTCTGATTGAGTTATGCGTTCTTGAATATTTTGAGCACCTAGACTAATTCCTGGTGAATTTGCTTGTTAATCGTGAGGTGAAAGAAAATGCGTTTTTGCGGATTTTCCATAGAAAGGTTGGATTACATAAACAAGGACCCCGCCAAAGCCTGACTCACCCTCACACGAGTAACATTAATAAAATCCACAGCGGGGTTCTTTCTCTTGAGGTTTCCTTCCCAACACAACAATCAAAATGACGACTCCAAACATTATCCTTCCCGAGAAGGGCAAGAACAACATCTTAATTACCAGTGCCTTACCATATGTGAACAATGTTCCTCATCTTGGAAACATTGTTGGTAGTGTGCTGAGCGCCGACGTATTCTCCCGTTATAGCAAGCTGAGAGATCGCCCAACCCTCTATATCTGTGGTACCGACGAGTATGGTACTGCTACGGAAGTCAAGGCTTTAGAAACAAAGCAGACTCCTAAGGAGCTCTGTGATGAATTCCACAAAAAACATAAGGATGTTTACGACTGGTTTGAGATTGGGTTTGATTACTTCGGAAGGACGACTACGGAACAGCAAACGATCATTGCACAAGATATTTTCATGAAATTACATAAGAACGGGTACTTGGAGGAGCGCACAACTACACAGCCCTACTGCGAAAAGCATCAATCTTTCCTTGCGGATCGTTTTGTTGAAGGTACTTGCCCTAAGTGTCAATACGATGATGCACGAGGTGATCAATGCGATAAATGCGGTAGTCTCCTTGACGCTTTGGAGCTTATCAATCCTGTTTGCAAGGTCGATGGTGCTACTCCAATTCCACGCGAGACGAAGCATATCTTTTTACTTCTCGACAAAGCCCAACCCGCGATCGAGGAATGGTTTAACAAATCAAGTGAGGAAGGAGGATGGCCCAAGAACGGCATCAGTATCACGAATTCATGGCTCAAGCAAGGATTGCAAGGACGAAGTATTACTCGAGACTTGAAATGGGGAACACCAATTCCTTTGCCAGGTTATGAGAACAAGGTTCTTTACGTTTGGTTTGATGCTTGTATTGGATATCCATCGATCACTGCAAATTACACGAAGGATTGGGAGCTTTGGTGGCGCGATCCAGAGAACGTTAAGCTTTACCAATTCATGGGGAAGGATAACGTTCCATTCCACACTGTTATTTTCCCCGGATCTCAACTGGGAACTGGAGATAAATGGACAAAACTTAACCATCTCTCCACAACTGAATACCTGAACTACGAGAACGGCAAGTTCTCCAAATCCAGAGGTGTAGGTGTTTTTGGTGACACTGCAAAGGATACTGGCGTTCCACCATCCGTTTGGAGATATTACCTATTGTCGAATCGACCTGAGACTGCAGATTCACAATTTGAGTGGGCAAACTTCATTCAATTGAATAATTCCGTCTTGCTAAACAACTTGGGTAACTTTGTCAACAGAGTTGTTAAATTTGTCAATGCAAAGATGGATGGAGTTATTCCAGAATTCTCTCCAGAGTACAAGGACGAGAAGTTCGATGCCCCTGCTTTCATCGAGGAGATCAATGCTCAGTTGAAAGACTACAACAATGACATGGAAGCTGTAAAGATTCGCGTCGGTTTAGATCAAGTCATGAAGATCTCTACCAGCGGAAACAACCTTCTTCAATATCGCCTAGATAACGCCAACCTTGCCGAACACCCAGAGAGAACTCACACCGTCATCGGACTCGCTCTCAATCTCGCTTACCTCATCGCATCCATCACATCACCTTTCATGCCCTCAACATCCGAGTCCATCGTTTCTCAACTCTCCGCCCCACTCGTCTCCATCCCCGATAAATGGAACCCAGCTGTTCTCAAGAGCGGTCACAAAATCGGCAAACCAGCATATCTCTTCACACGTATTGATGAGAAGAAGGCCGACGAATGGAGAAAGCAATATGGAGGAACACAAGCTTCTAGATTAGCGGAGGAAGAAGCCCAAGCAAAGAAGAAGGCGGATAAGGCGAGAGATAAGGAGAGAAAGAAGGCAAAGAAGGAAGCGGAGAGAGCCGCTAAAGCCGCTGGAGGCGCTGAGAAGAAGGAGCTAGCTGCTGGTGTTGAGACTGAAATTCCTTTGAGAGGACAGGCTGCAGAAGAGCAAGCTCCTCCTCCTGCAGCTGCACCATAAAGAATGACAAATAGATGTTTATGGAAAGAAATGTGAAGTTATATTTAGCGAGCGATTCGGTGATGGGATGTGCAGAAAAAGGTGTGAAGTTTTTGCAGAATAGAGAAGAGAAAAGGAAGACTCCTATCCTAAACTTATGATATTTGGTAGCGAAGTAAGGTTTACAAATCCGGTTTTGCTTGCTAGAGAGCAGAGAATAGCATTGGTTCACAACAACCAATTGGGGAGAAAACGATGAAAGAATGAATGGAATAAAAAAGAGATTATAAATATTGTGTACGGACTTATTTTACGAAAGCACCATGAGCAAATGTGAAACATCTTAGATTGGATTGAAAGGTGATTTTATCATTATCATACGACTCCCATCATCGTGCGGGCATCATTAACTAACTTAAGAAGAAAAGATCCTTTCCTCCATAGAAGCCCCATACCAAAACTATGCATCCGTATCCGCCATAAAAAAAAACAAGTGACTATCTCTCGCGTCATGCGTTTGAAGCCATATCATCATTACCCATTAACTACATCACAATTTGATATTTTGCACATGCCTTGGCTCGCTTGCGAGCATAAACATCTCGTTCTTCTTGAAGCAGTATTTGGGATATTTATTTCCCGCCAAACCAGCTGGAAATACCGCTCTTCGCCTTGGCAGCTTCGGCCTCGACTTTGCGGTCTACTTCGTCAATCTTCTTCATGGTGGTTTGGGCAGCGTCGTTCTTGTATTGCTCAAATTTTCCTTCAGCTTTGGCGAGTTCGGCGCGGGCTTGGTTGGTCTATGGGATGGGGAGTTAGTTATTTGTGAGAGTGAGAGTTGGAGTAAGAGAAACTGTGATATAGTATAGGTTACGGGGAATAGGAGGCTAGAGAGGTAGAGATGATAGACATACAGCAGAATCAAGCTTAGCACCAGCTTCGGAACCCCATTTCTCGGCTTCCTTTTGAGCTTGTGTGGTGCGACCTGGGATCTCGGACTTTACTTTTGCGGAAGCACGGGAGAGATCACCTATTTGGGTATTCTGGTTAGTTATTTGCTCAATGTGGAGTAGTGTAGTGATGTGTTGTGAGATGAAGGAGCTTGAGAGATTTGTAATTGTCGATATGTGGTGGCGATATTGGATAGAGGGGAAGGTGGTTATGAGGCAATATGGGAATAGGAATACATACTTTCAAATTGCTTCTCAGCAACCTTGGGACTGCCTCCGGCGCTGTACAAATAATAACCTACACCACCGGCGGCGGCAAGACCAATGTAGAGAGGAGCGCGGGAACTGCGTTGAGCCATTGTGATATGTATAGATTGATTGAGATTGAGATTGAGATTGAGACTGAGTGTATTTGGGTTTTTGTTGATTGTTGAAGAAGTTTTGTTTGTAATGTTTATGTTCAAAGGAAGTAGAAGGATGAGAAAGAGAGAGAGATCTTGAAATAAGGGAAGGTAGTACGGGAGGCTTTTGTAGGTGATGGTTTGATTGGTGAATTCTTGTTTATGAAACTATTACGACGTCGCTTCTTCTTTTTCCTCTTTTTCTCTTCTCTTCTTTTCGATGATATGATGTTTCTTGGATGATGAGGGGGAAGTGTAACGTCATAGGTTAGCTATCCTGGTCAAGACTGGATGAAAGCTCGGGATGAAAGCGGCGTGGGATGTGGCGGTGCTATTTGATGGGGTTTCAGGTTGTGCTTTGGTAAAAGGTTGTTGGTCTACGTGGACCGGTACTTGCTTTGTTCTTATGGGAGAAGAGAAGTAGTGTTGTTTTGGTTGGGAAAGTTATTTGGAATCCTATTTATTCTATTTATCGAGTGAGCGATAATAGGTAGAGAACAGTTTAATAGGTATATATATATACATCGATGTAAGTAATAAATGAAGATATAAATGTTTCACTCATGTTCATGAGTTGCTCTCACCCAATGCAAACAAAAGCAGCATTCGATCTCAAGCCACTGTTTTCCCGTTCGTCTCACCCATCAAGCATGGAAGATCTATACTGGGATCAGATGCAGATAAAGAGACCAGGATACCAGAGTGAACCATCCTAGCGCGTCATCAAAACCGAGGGCGCGCAAGTCTTATTAGTAGTCAGCACCAATGATTTATCCCAATCCGTTCCTCCATCCTCCTCAATTGATCCAGACTGAGTCTAACTGCTTGGATCGGTAGCCAGACTGGGTAGGTAGGGTAGGTACACTTGCTCCGTAATCTTACATGGTTTTTGAATATTCAATTGAACATCGATTATTCCAACAAAATAACTTGGAACAGACGTGCAACAAAATTCTATTCACAACTCTCTTTTAATAAAAATTAATCAAGGAATTCTTGGGGGGATTTGCTATCATTACACTGTGACCCATTAGCTTGGCTGGGCTATCAGTAATCTAGATTCTAGGTTCTCAATACGAGCATCTTTAACCCAAACAAGACCAGCTTCGATTTTAATTTTAATTTCAAGGAGAGGAAGACGACCAACCATCCGGCCAGCCAGCCAGTCGATAGAAGCGCAACTCAATTCAACGGCGATGCAGTTCTCGTGAAATCGAGAGAATGTCCATTTTACAATCCAAGAACAAGAGACCTCAGCCATTAACCGATGCTGATTATGATCATGAAATCGGATTGGTAGATCATACAGATCCAAATGCGGTTCAAAGTCGGAGTCGGAGTCGGAGTCGGAATCGTTCAAGAAGAGGGCAGGTCAAAATTGATGATCTGCCAGCGATTATCGTAACAGATTCGTCGTCGAGGGATCGGGCTGATGAGCCATTGAGGAGAAAGAGGTCTTTGAGGGCGGAGTTGACAAGGAGGAAATGGAAGAAATATAGGGATGCGCATGTTGCTGCAGATGAAATTGAAGATACTCCTGTTAAAGTCAACTCGTTGGTGTATGCGATTGCTCGATGCCATTCATGTGTGTAATTTACTAACTTCATCCTTGCAGTACCATACCTCCAGAAGTCTATGATGCCGTTGACGATGAAGAAAATCGGGGCCGAAGTCGAAGAAGAACAAAAGCTCAACAGGAACGGGACAAACTGCCTTACGAGATTGATATCTTATATGAAAACGAACGAGGGTTGATTCTATGTGGATTGCATATGTTTTCTGGTCAAGCATTGGGGGTTCTGGATGCCGCGCCTTGGACAAAGATCACGAACAAGCCCAGCTTGACAAATACTTCGAATGCTCAAGTACCGGATCCAAGTTGGGAATGGGCGTGGCCAGAGTGGATTGTCAATCATGATGATGGGGTAAGCATATCTACAACTTCGGTGTTTGAACCAGGCTGGGATTTGGACTTGATTGCCAACCATCTATGGTTGTGCTCTTTGGAATACATACTGACTGTCGATGTGAATTATTAGGTCGATGATGAAGGGTGGGAATATTCCTTCGCTTTCTCCAAGAAATGGTCATGGCATAATGCCAAATGGTATAGCTCATTTGTTCGAAGAAGAGTATGGATTCGAAAGAGAGTCAAAAAGGGACATATGCCACTACATGCTCACATGCTTAATGATGATTATTTTACTATACATCCAGTGAGTATCCACTCTATTATTATCCATCCTTGTCATTCGATTGAACACAAGACCCAAAAATTCCCTCCAATTATGATTTTCAGCAATACTGATTAACTTTACCAGCCCCGTAGCAGAAGTCGCGCAACAACTCTTACAGGCCCCCATGCTTTAGAGGCAGATGGTCGAAGTCGGAATAGTTTAGCAGCCTCTAGCCGCAATTACGAAACCGAGTGGAAGGTCGAGGAAATAAGTAATATTGCAACTCTAATGAAAGTGCTGCGAATTTGTCGAATTGATAGAGAGAAAATGGAAGCAGTGGAGAGTTTCATCAAACATGGGGGCGAGGAATTGCATTATCTAACAAAGCCAGAACACATGCATGAGATTATGAATATGTTCATCTTTCAGGCGAGTAGGCGGATCTTGCTGGCGAGATTGATGAAGGAATTTGAGGAATCGGGTGGAGAGGTTGAGGAGGGTAAAGTAGAAGAAGGGGATGACGTCGAGGGCGACAGTGCGAGTATGAAACACAGACAACGTGCCAAGAATCTGGAAGCAGCACTTAAAGCTGCAGACGAAGAAGTCAAAAGATTGGAATATTGGAGTGATGTTCGACGTATGGCCGAGAAAGGAGAAACGATTGGGGCAGTGGATGATGAAAAAGGATGGGATGGGAATTGGGAGGGTTTGGATGGGAGTGGACCCAAAGATGCGAAATTTGATGGGAAGGTCATGGAAGGGAAGGAGGGGAATGAAGGGGGAAGCATTGGAGGGAAAGAAAATGAGAATAGTGATAGAAGAGAGAAGGGAAAGGAACCTGCTCAAGATTGAACGGGTTCGCTTAACATATGTCTGAAGTGATGAATGGGTTATATACATATGAATGGTTCAGTCAGATACATGGAATGACGGATCGATGGGTCTCGGGGATGGCGTTTTCTATCTCTTCGATACCTTTGATTGAATTCAAAAGGAGGTGCATAGCGACTTGGGTTTTAGACTGGATTGTATGTTTTAAGGTTGTTGGGTTGGGTAGTATTGGATACTAGGTAATTCGATAGTCTTTGGAACTGAAGCAAATCGGAGTTCAAAGTGGGAGGTTGGCAAGGCGGATGAATGGTAGAATGGGAGTATGAAATACCCGGAATAGGATTAAGATAGGATGAATGAAAATAAAAGCATACTCTTACTTCCAGAACAATAATACGTTGTATAAAAAAAGTGTGGTATTCAATACATATATTCGTTCATTAAGCTCGTCTACAGCCCTTTTTTATTTCGCCAAAAATTTCTGGAAAGCCTCATGCTCAATCGCAATGTTGCCTACCGCCTTCAACTTCTTTCTTCCCTCCTTCTGTCTGTCCAACAACTTTCTCCTTCGTCCAATATCACTTGCGTGTAACTTTTGCAATACATCTTTTCTAAATGGTTTGAGCGTTTCTCTCGCTACAATTCTTTTTCCCGCTTGCGCTTGAATGATAACCTCAAACATTTGCCTGTCGACATGTTCCTTGAATTTCGTAACCCATTGTCTGCCTATTTTTTCCGTCTGACTTGTGTGTACTACTCTTGCCACGGCATCCACTGGACCTTTATTAACGAGCAGTTGGAGTTTCACAATACTACTCCTGCGGAAACCTGCATCTTCATAGTCGAGACTTGCGTAACCCTTCGTTGCGCCTTTCAGTTTTCCGAAGAAATCGTCGACGAGTTGGGCGAGGGGAATGTCGTATTTGAGAATTACTTGGGTGGCGGTGAAGAAGGTGAGATCGACTTGCTCGCCGCGGTTTGATTCGCAGAGTTCGATTACCTTTCCGAGATATTCTTCCGGGAGAGTGATTGTCGCTGAGACGTAGGGTTCTTGAAGTTCTTGGACACGTTGATGTGTGGTTTCTTGTTCGGGGAAGAGGGCGGGGTTTTGGATGATGGATTCTGTCCCATCGCGCCAGATAACTTTGAAGGGCACGGTGGGTGGTGTGATGATGATACTTGCGCCATGCTCTTGACGGAGACGATCTTCGAATACCGAGCAGTGAAGAGTACCAAGGAACCCTAAACGCCATCCTGCACCAAGTGCTTCTGAAGATTCCTTTTGTAAAGTCACACTTCTGTCGTTGAGTACGATTTGGTTGATGGATTCCTCCAGATGATGATAGTCGCTTTGATCAACTGGGAATGCTGCCACAAAAACCATAGATTTTGGCTCCTCGAAGCCAGGATATGCCTCGACTAGATGTTCTGAGCCAACAGTGGTATAGGTATCACCACTTAAAGCCTCTTGACTTTTCTTCATACCAGGGTTGAAGTAGATATATCCAACCTGCCCAGCTCTCAAAATAGTTTGAGGTGTCTGATCCGGATACATGATTCCTACCTCACCCACGAAATATTTGATTCCGGTTGCAAAACTCACAATTTGGTCACCAGCCTTGATCGTTCCATCAAAAATCCTAACCAGTAGAATAACGCCCTTATAGTTATCATACCATGAATCTACTAACAATAACCTCAGTGGCTTAGTGTGATCGCCAACTGGTGCTGGGATTTGTTTGATAACATTTGGAAGGATGGCTGGAACATTCAATCCTGTCTTTGCGCTGACTAAAACTGCATTCTCGGGCTCTAGTTCAAATGCTTCTTCCATCTGCTGTAATGCTCTTGGTGAATCCGCAGTCGGTAGGTCCACCTTATTAACCACTGGTACCAATGTCAAACCTTGTGAAAATGCCAAATAGAAATTCGCAACCGTTTGAGCTTGTACTCCCTGACTTGCATCTACTAGTAACAGCGCTCCTCCGCAACTAGCATAAGATCTCGAAACCTCAGCTCGAAAGTCCACATGTCCCGGTGTATCGACCAAGTGAAGTAGATAATCTTCCCCTTCATGATTCCATAACATACTACATGTTTGCGCCTTAACAGTAATACCTCTTTCCCGTTCCACTTCCAGCTTATCCAGGATCTGTTTATCGCCACCAGGTTGGATCGTGCCCGTTAATTCGAGTAATCGATCACTAAGTGTACTTTTTCCATGATCTACATGTGCTACGATGCAGAAGTTCCGGAATCGTTCAATAGGTATAGCTTGGATGCGACGTTCTAGATCCCCAACGATTTTCTTAGCAATAGCATATCGTGTTACCGATGTGGTGAATGTTCGCGGGAAGGAGAGAGGAAGGAAATGGGATGCATATTGAGATCTGATAGTGCTGGGAAGCCTAAGCAGGTTCAATGGACATCGCTGCATTTGTGGAGTGGGCTTCACAGCATGAGGACGCGGGGTTGAGGATTGGGGAAATTTAATTTTGGGGTGCTTTGCTTGCGACGGAACTTTCCGATACCGCGGTCGCTGCGGCAACCGATTAATTATTTCGGGCTCTTTACTTTCTTTTTATCAGACACATGGTTAAGAAAGCCCGCCAGGTTGTAGAACATTATCATCTTCCTAAACTACAGTCAATATGTCGAGCACAAAGCCAACCACAAAAGCCGCTACAAAAGCAACCACAAAATCAAAAGATAAATCGGATAAATCGGACAAGGCGAAAACTCATAAACTCTCTCTGAAAGGTATGTCAAACTCTACGAAAGTCAAATTGCAGGGCTAATAACTTGTAGGTTCTTCGAAACTCGTTGCGGAATTTGTGAGTACTGGACTTTCAATATGAAGGAGGGAAACTAATCTGCCCAGTTCCAATACTCAATAAATACGATCCTGTAAGTTTTAACTCGTCTGCAAATGGTCTTCAAATAACTAATAGTTTCACAGCTTTCAACGAGGTGTATACCCCGCAGAAGACTTCTCAGCGTATGTCTATCCAATTCATGCCGTAGTTGATGAACATTTCAACTAACTGTCTCTTTACAGAGTCAAGAAATATGGCCTCACAATGCTTGGTTTGTCCTCCTTATACAATATTAACATTTCAACCCCTCACCTCTCACTCCCCCATATTCATCATGCTATATTCAGAACTAACTCCACTTCATCAGTTTCCTCGGATGACCAAGTCAAAGCCTACATCAAGAAAATCATGTCCCAACTCGACAAGTGGATGGTAAACGGAAAGATTACCAAACTAATCGTCGTGATTACTTCCAAAGAAACGGGCGAAGATGTGGAACGCTGGCAATTTGATGTTGAAATCTTCAACAAACCCTCCAAGAAATCATCCAAATCTAAATCTTCCACTACACCATCCGCATCCGAAAATGCACCCACAGAGGGAGAAGCACCTGCACCCGCACCCGCACCCGAGAAGACTGAGGCAGAAATCCAATTAGAGATTCAATCGATATTCAGACAGATTACGGCTAGTGTAACATTTTTGCCAGAACTGGATGGCGCATGTACATTTAATGTTCTGGTCTATGCAGATGCAGACAGCGAGGTTCCAATGGAATGGGGAGATAGTGATGCGAGAGAGATTGTGAATGGAGAAAAAGTACAATTGAGAAGTTTCAGTACGGCTAATCATAAGGTCGGAACCATGGTTAGCTACAGAGTTATGGAGTAATGAATCGGGAAGGGATTGGGAAGGAGTTATGTGTGCTATATGAATGAATGGACAGGATGAATGGATCGGCTTTGGATTTTTGACGTGGGTATTCGCGTGGGAACGATAGGGATCTGTAAAGTTATGGATGAGCTGGAGATGATATATAGGATAGCTGGGACTATCACTCTCCCTTATGTTCGCCAATGGAGAAGGAATTTTATGGTGTAAAAATACGGGGTTAGGCGATGGATATTATGGATCAATAGAACAGACGCTCTTCTTACTTCTGAATCAATTTTAAATGTGGCTTTCGCCAGATGAAAGAGAGAATTAAGCTCTCACATTTGTCAATCTGATATATCCATACAGGAGATCTCGCAGACGCTACATTTAACGATTTCTAAAAGCATCGCCTTTCACATAATATGTGAAAATCTCACTACAACTACATTGACTTCTGAGCCTTCATATCACGTCTTCATCTCCTTTCGACACAGTTGTTCATACTCCTTTCCTTTGTTGCAAGGTATGTTGCCTAGAAATCCACAATCCAGATCCCCGATTTCCCTTCGAAACTCACTTGATATCCCACCACTATATTCCCGAATTATCTTTAGCTAGGTACACATCTCATCATGTCGACCACACGAAATATTGAAAAGACCTACAAAAAATCTCCTTCAATCCTCATCCCCTCACCCTCTTATCGCATTCGCATATCTTGTTTTTCCTGCGGACAGGAAACGGGGTGGGTTTCCCAATTTTCCATCCCACCCCTCAAATCTGTCCTTACATACCCAGTATCGCGAATCACATCCGTTACGAGAAACGTGTCTTCCTCAGATTCTTTTTTTTTTTCTGAGAGAGAGAGAGAGGTCTTATTTACGTATCTTTTCCCATTTCTTGTATATCTAGTCTGGAGATCGAGCAGAAGAAGATACTTACTCACTCGCCAACCGTTTCCTTTGGATTTCTGACAGCTTGCAAGATATTGCATACTCTTCCAGCCCGAGATGACAGACGTTGAATTTCAAGAATATTTGCCTGAATATCTATCTTAATATGTACCTTGATCAGTAAGTTGGCTTCTATTTTCAGCTTGGCATACCAGATGGATTGTTGTGGTGACCATGGAGCACATTTTTACGAACAAATGTGCAACATTTGCAGACCAAGGGACTATCGCAGTCACTGCTGAAGTATCTTAAAATGAAGTAAGTCTTGTAATTTGATAATTTGATTTTTCATTTTTCATTTCTCGTTGATTAATAATGCTACGTAACAGTGGTATCTAATTATGCTTTTCAATGACTCATCTCTTCGTAGTGTTTCTAACTCTATCAATGTCCCGTCTTTTACTGTGTTATAGCCTTGATCCCTTGGAGTAATAGACCAAAAACCAGACCCCGTGCAATATCTTCCCTCTGCAATGCATCAAACACTTTCCCTAATGCTTCCCCGGTAGCTGCTTGTCCCATCACCCCCATTAGAGCAATAGGCATGCCTCTCTCTAGTAGAAGCTTTCTTGCCTTAGTCTTCAACTTTTCCTTTTGCTCTGCAGTCATCTCTTCTGGCCAGGCTTTCAATTCGGCGTCTGTAGGTAAGCCGTTCTCTCTTAATTTTTGGATGGAAGATGCAATTCCCGCATCGGAAGTATAGGCCGAGATAACGGACTCTTGTAAGAGACCTTGGATAGAGGATAAAGAAGGGTTTCCTGGACGAAGAAGAAATGTTTTCGCGGCAGTGAGGAGTGTGCGTCGGAAGGTCCAAGCAGAAGACAGAGTATATAGTTCTGTTATGATGGCGAAGAGGAGCTCGATTGCTACTTTGGTTTCTTCCTCATTCAGTGGGGCAGTTTTCTTCTCTTTTGATACTATAGGTGCTTGGCTTTTGTCACTGCCTAACATGTCCTGGTTCAGTGGCTTCTCGGTCAGGGCAGGCTTTTTCTCATTCGCTGTTGTGGGTGCAACGCTATTGTCATTGTCAACCACATCTTGGTGCAATGACTTCTCGACTGGGGCAATGTTTTTCTCATTTGGTGCCGTGATTGCACCGTTGTTTTCATTCTCTAGCCCAGATTGATTCAACGGCCTGTCAACTGGAGTAGTATAATCATCGGGCATCTCAGTAGGTGGTGGTGGCAGATGTAACTTGGATGTTGATGGCGTTTGACTAGGCTCACGACTGTTTGACGGGCTGTAGGCGGTGCTCATATGGCTGCTTACAGATGATCCTCTGGTTCTAATACCAGACTCCTCTTCAGCGCCTGGAATAGAACCACGACTTAATTTTCGTCCGAGAGACGCTGTCTTTCCAGGATGTGAGACAAATGAAGCTGCTTTCATGCTCTCCTCGCTCAATCTACCCCTTTTTTGTTCAAATGAAGAACCATTTGATGAGGCCATGCTATCCACTCTTGACAGAGCCGGTGTTGACATACGATTTTGGGATTGCAAGCTACTCTGAGATGCCATACTATCCACTCTTGACAGTGCTGGTGTCGAGATACGGTTTTGAGAGTGCAAGTTACTCTGACTGGCTCTCTTTTGTGCAAGTGATCCAATGTTGCTGAAGACTCCGGTGACCCCGGCAGCTGCCCCTTTCGGAGCGCTTTTAAGTGTATCAAAAACGCCTTTACCCATATTCTCGAGAGAAGATGTAGGCCAGTTGAAGCCAGCTTTTGTAGCTGTTGCCGGCATTGTCCCTTGATCCTTTTCCAAGAATCGTTTCATGCCCTCGGTTTCAGCAAGTGGCTGGTGCGTGAGAGCATCTTTTAGATACTGTTCCAATTCAACGCGTAGCAATGGTTTGGTGAGGGTCTTCCAGTTTGGTAAATCTTGGTGTTTTTCAATAAAAGCATTCGCACCCGAAACTTTAGCGATTCGTCCAAGTACCTCATGTAAGGTCTCAAAATCCGAATATCTTCGGACAATCATCCATCCTGGATGGATCGATGACTGTGGTTCAATTTGAACCATATAATCCATTGTAGGTTTGTTCTTGATCCTTCCTTTATCGGAAGCGACTGAGTCATCATAAATAATGATGTTCGCATTATGTAAGGTTAGAGGCACTGGCTTGCTTCTCTGAGGTGAGGTTTCATTTGAGTATAATGCGGCAGGTGTGGGGGGCACGATCTGGTCGAAGCTGGTAAACGAGGAAGTGGTCTGAGGGGTCGTAGGCGATAGAGCTTGCTTTGAGTCAGGAGACATAGGGGATCTGCTGTTCGTATCAGATCCAGATAGAGAGGGTCTTGAGTCTGTAATAGGGGTGTGAGGCGGAATGCCGTTTGTTGATGATACAGGAACCGATTCCGGTAGTATATTCTCTTTGACATTTTGATCGTCAAGGGGCTTTTTTTCTTCGTCCTTGAAATCATCGATTTGCGCAAGTTTCTTTGCATCCTCTGCAGCAATCAACATGCTGAGTCTTTTCGCTTCTGCCATAGCTTCATTGTTGGCATCTTCATCCGAAATTTGCCTTTGATGCCTTTGTTTCTTAGGGGATCTAACAATACTAATATTCCCGACGTTACCATCGATGTCGGAGAATGGATCGTGGATATTTCTACGGTCCATGGCTTCATCAATCGCCTGTCCCAATCCAGGCTCTCCGTCTTCTAAGAGGTATACAATCCATCCGTTGATAAACTCCGGCTTGGAACAACTTTTTAGAGTCATTTCCAACACGACTCCAGCTAGGATCTCCCTTAAAAAGATTTTGGCTGGTCCGGATTCATAGACTGACTTCTCAAGGAAGCTTCGCAGAAGATCGTCTGCTGCCATTGTAAACTTTATTTTCTGCTGTCTCTCATTCATAATGTTGGCCAGACTGCTATCTGGGTTTGTACTCAAATAAGCGGTCACCATCTCTCCGACAGGCCGGTTAGTTCCTGGGGTCGCAGAAGTTGCATTCGCCAACTCATTGAGGAAGACAATGGTAATGGAAGACGAGTTGGTAAGGAAATCAAGGAAAGTGTCGGCAGGTCGCTTTCTCGACAAACGCTGGGACATCGATAGAATGAACCTCGTGAGGGTTGATCTCGCAGCAATGGGAAATGCTTCGTCGTTTGGGAGTATTGGACTGTACCAATACTTGACATAATCCCGGATGACGGCATCAACTAAGTCGTTTAACGCAGTGGCAGTCTTAGGTCGAAAACCCTCGAAGTTGATTCCTGGACCAGCCTCAACTAATTCATACTGAATGTCTTCCGGCTTCACTGCTTCTTCTCGCACAGCTAAAGCACTTTTCTCCGTAAAAAATGTATGTAGGATGACACCGCCTAGGCCTCCAAGGAGGAGAAGAAACAGTCCATCGATTATTATGTATATGCCGAATGACAAAACAAGAGCTGCCAAAATAAGCTGCTCATTCGAAGCCGTAGAAACAAATCGTAGTAATCGTGTAGTTATGTGGTCGTCGGTCGCGGAAGCCGCGACCTTGGACTCGTTTGTTGAGTCCATTGTGGGCATTCAAGTAGTGGTGTTATCTGACAGTGCTGTATTGTTTGATTCTTTTATAAAGTTTGGACCTGTTATGGTGATTCAATGCTGCTGCCGCAAAAGAATCAGAAAGTTCGAAGTTCGAAGGAATGCTAATGCAATGTTAATCCAAAGTCAATCTACTCGCAGTGTCAATTGAATGTCAATCGTCATTGCCTAGTTTAGCGTAGCTTCTACGGAGTATTTCGAATAGCTTCATGTACTAGGGGTATTAAGATTAAGGACGAATGTCAAAAGAACAGAAATGACGTTCCACACTCACATTGAAAAAGGAATGAAGTCCATTTTGAACAATGAAATGTTGGTTTTGACCACAGTGTGCCTTCTTTTTTGACCGCGAACTTTGAGGCTGAGTTGAAACAAAATGGCAACTTAATCTTGTTATCAGCGATAACACGACGTATCCATAGTACTTTATTACAAGTGTGTACATCAATAACCCCCCTGGGTATCTTTTCAAATGGCTTTCCTGTCAATATTTCACGTTTTATATACTTGATCGTTCATTCCATCTAAAAACAGACATTCCAATTATCTGGGCACTTCTGATGAGTATTTTCCGCAGTCATGGTCATGATCGAGAACATACGGTCCAAGCACGGTGGAAGGAAGCCTTTGAAACAAGAATAGGAACGTCTAGCTACGTAGGTAAATGTGTAAATATTGAGGTTTGATGGATCGTCAGGGATGATTTCCCCTTCCCCTTCCCCGGCCCTGTAGCTAGAGAAGGAAGGGGAGGTAACAATTACCGTTTCCGTTACTAAAAAAGCTTGAGTGAGGTTAGGTACTACCCGAAACAAGAATATATTTACCTAGGTATGAACAGAAATTCTATATCAAATCAACAAATCAATATATCAGGATCAAGTTTCAAGTGTTCGAGAGGAAACACATGATCCTATTATACCCTTCGACTTGAATGAAAATAAATTATTGAAGGAATATCAATTGAATTTTGAGAAAGTGTCTTAGTTATCCTTTCTCCCATCTTATTCGTAGCTATCGATCGGTCTTTGCTACTACATATCCCCGTCGTGATGTAGATCTATCCATCCACCCATCCATCCTTGCCCATGAGCCTACGAAGTACTTCCCGACCACCAAAATCAATTTACGCGCAAACGCGAACTCTCGTCTTATCTCAACGCGTCAACCAAATTCATGACAATGAAATCCAAATGAAATCCAATTCATCAAACAATCTTTCATTCCAAATTTGAACTTTAAAACAATCTTCTGAATTACTTCGTGGTCTAAAATTGTTTCCTCTATTCTCTACATAATCTCATCTTACCTTTTTACTCCAAAAAGAAAGACCCCTCATTGATAAGCTGATTCATCACTCCCATCCAACAGACCAGATCCAAATTCAATCCGTAAATCTCAATCTCAATCTCTACGTCCCTCCAAAATGCCAAAACGAGCCCGCGCTGAGCCTGTCGAGACTTACGACTCTGACGGTGGTTTCGTATCAGATGATGATGATGGTGCTGTTCGCAAGGTAACCCCTCTCCCTCTCCCAGTTCCAATCCCGATTCAATATGATTATCCCAATCCATCCCTTTCTTCTCTTTCTGGCACCATCCGAAATTATTTCTAAATACCACACCCCTCTCTATTCAAACTCACCCCACAAAATACCCAACCGTCGCTAACATACCCCTCAGTCTAAGAAATCTAAGACCACTAAAGCTACAAAAGCCACTACGACGGCTAAACCCACTTCCTCCTCCTCCGCCATCTCTCCTTCATGGGACCTCTCCACCGGCCGCACTCCTCGCAAAATTGAGCTTTCAGACTTCAAAGGCCAAACGCTCATAAACATTCGCGAGTTCTATGAGAAAGATGGAAATGTTTTACCTGGAAAGAAGGTTAGTTTTATTCCCTCCCCCATTCTATCCCCTGCTCAACGCAGCTCTACAAACATTATCTCTGCAAGTTCCATACATGTACAATATTCAGAATAGAGAAATAGAAAAAGAAGTTAAAAGGCTAACAGTGAACAAATAGGGTATCTCCTTGACAGTTGACCAATACAAAAACTTCCTTAAATCCATCCCCCAAATCAACGCCAATCTTAATAAAAAAGGTATTGACGTTGGACCCGGAGAAGAAGAGGTAGAGGAAGACGAAGAAGAAGAAGAAGAGTCAGATGACAACGATGAAGAAGAAGAAGAGTCAGATGACAACGATGAAGAAGAGGAAGAGGCCGTGGAAACAGACTCGGAAGCCGACAAAAAGTCCAAGGGCAAGAATAAAAAAGTCAAGCCAGTAGCGCAAAAGGTTAAGAATAAGAAGGACAAGAAAGAGAATATTGAAGCTACGAGTGATGAGGAAGAATGAGGAGTCGGATTCAAGTTCACAAGAAAAAAAAAAGTCGCTTCGAGATTTAAGGGGGCCAGTTTCAAAGGATCTTGAGGGAACCTTTCGGAAGTAATTGATGTTGCAGATTTGCAAATGTTTCTGTTATCTACTTCACTTGGTTGCCCTTTTCATATGATTTCAAATCATGTGAAGGGTACATCTTGCTGTTAGCGACTTGAGGATCTTTAGAGTTGTGGAATCAGGAGTCAAACTTGAAATGATTGGAATGATATCCGAGGAGATCATTGGGGAAACAAACACATACGAATGCACACACGCTGTTGCGGCTTGATCAAACTGCAATGATGCAATGATACTGATCAATTTTTATGTACCATAATCAATTAATTCATACAATCATAAAGCTCCTCTCATGTATCTCCATGCTCCAGCACTACCACCATCTCCTCATCATCTCTTTCCCGAATCTGAGAGATTCTTTCACACCTGCCAGCTCCCACTAACAGTAGCAGTCGTAGCGCAACCTTTCGGAACTGTATAACTTCTATTTGGATCCGCCTCCCAAGTAACCGTCCCATCACTCGCCACATTGATAAATTTATACGACACCGTCGTGCCAGCTGGTAGATTGACCGTCACGGTCCACAACGGATTACTAGTCGTATACGTCGCGGCGCTCAACGCAATTGCCGAAGCCGGTGTCCAAGTTCCCAATTGAGAGATGGAACCAGAGAGTTTGATCGTTTGGCCAAAGGAGGTAGTGACCAATTCATTGAAAGTAACAGCTACCGAGGTGGCTGTTGCGCATGAGGAAGTGGTGGTCGAGGTGGAAGTTGTTTTGGTGGTAGCGGATGTACTTGTTGTGGGAGTACTTCCTCCGCCGCTGGGAGTTTGCGATGCGGGCCAAGAAGTGGCGGTTGCGGTGGAATAGGTTCCGATGGCCGAGGTAGCAGAACAAGTTCCTGGGACGCTGGAGGCGGGTGGTTCGCCCCATGAGTATGGGACGACGCCTGCGCGACGGGCCGCGGCGGTGAGGAAGGCTGCGTAGGACCAGGTGAGGTCGTAAGCTGAGAGAGGGGCGCCGCCGGCTTTGTTGAATTGTTCTGAGAGGGAACCGTTGGTCTGTGCGTAGGTTGCGACGATGTTAACGTAGCCATCAGCATAGGTCTTGATGGCGTTGTAGAGAGTGGTGTAGGTTGATGTAGAGGATGCGTATGTTCCGGCTGTGATGGAAGAGCTGAAGTCCTTGAAGAATGCTAGGGAAGTAGCAGTGACTGTGATGGAGCCCATTCTATTCCACGTGTACAATGCATCGTATAATTGTTCGGCAGCAGCAAGAGTATTGAGATACCAAGGGTTGCCACCATAGTAAGAGTCTTCTGGGTAGCGTCCAACAGAAACGGCAACCCCTTCGGCTATTCCAGAATTGATGCTGTAGATAGATCTGAAAGAATCAGTCACAACTTTGTGATTTGACAAAGCACGGTCTGAGCATGGTTGAAATGTAATGGCGTCGCATGCCGCAGTAGGATCAAAAGTCTGAATAGAACTCAAGATACTATTTGCATCTTTTCCGTTTCTTCCGCTGTTTTGGTTGATGTTGGAAATTATGTATCCCGAAGATGAACTCCAGAAACTTTGGAGGAAGCAAAGAACTTGTGGAGCTCTGAAAAGTGGATTAGCACTTGTATTGAAACATATTCTTTCGCGCGTACTTACTGAGAATCACAATAAGTACAGCTTTGGCCGATTTGAGCAGCCAATGCACTGCCTTCAACAAGGGCACGATGTTGAGCAGCGACAGTGAAGAAACTTGATCCTTGAACTTCTTCCCAGAGATCGAAGCCAGTTTGGTTCCCTGTGAATTGAGTCAATCAAAAGCTTCAAAAAGAGAGGGTCATCTATTTTGAGACTAGTTTGGTCTTTCTTCTCAATGACTTACAGTATTGAGTCACATAGGACAGATCATTTCTGATAATTGGCCAAACGATATTTTGCACAGTGGAGGTATATCCATTGGCGATCAACCATTTCGAATAGGTGATCATAGCAGTAGCACGTAAAGCGGGTCCATCTCGTTGAGGTCTTCCCCAAGACCCTGTATAGTTTCACATGTCAGTCACCATTAGAAGAGAGGTTTCTCATTTTTCTCACCTGTAAATGCCGATTTATCCGCATTGAACTTGGGCTCGCCCAGACCACCGGATGACAAACCACCTGAAGGGTTTGATACAGTTTGAAGACCGGCTTGGGAGCTGATATAGTTTTCAATCTCCTGTTGAAGTGATGCAGAATAACTGCTGCTGATAAATGTATCAACGAGGGCTTTGAAGACCAATGCGGAGTCTCGAGTCCAAGTATAAAAATCTGTTTGCATATCAGAATTCCGTTTATTCAAACAAGTTCATGAAATACTCACAATCTGGATTCACTTTATCAGGTGAAGCAATCACAATACCCGAAGCTGCCCCTGAAGCACAAGCTCCATCTGAGCCGATATTACATAAAAGATTTCTGAAAGCAATAGGGCTTTCGGTGGCAATGAAAGAATCCACCGAGCGTTTTAGGATTTCGGCGCGTTGCTCAACTTTACTGGGACCAGGTAGGGCATAAATAGTCTGGAGGGCAAGACTGCC